AGCGGCGCCGTCCAATGACGTCGCCTCGGCGGAGACTGGAGGTAGCGGCGCTCCGGTGGAGACAGGAGGCAGCGGTGCGGCACCGGCTGAAGGAAACGCCCCCCTCCATCGGCTCTTTTCGGGCGGTGAGCGTTTGAGGCCTGACATTCGGCTCCCCCTACCATGGCTCCCCCTGAAAGGAAGCAGAAGAGGGTTAGCGGCTCTATTCCATGGGGACCCGGCCTACCTGGGGGGTGGTCTTCCCGGTTTGTTAGGGAAACGCTTATGGTATCTGCGAAGTAATGTGGGCGCGGATATGTCCTTCTCCCTCACCCAGGAGGCCTCTGCTATGGGATAACCCTTCCAGAGAATGAGGTATGAGATGCTACCCCTCCGTACCCTAGAGTCCAGGATATCCTGAACCTCATAATGCCCCGGCATGATGGGCCCTGGGCCTTGGCCAGGGGACCTTTCCCCTGCTGGTTTCAACAGACTGACATGAAACACTGGATGTATTCTACCCAGGAACCGTGGCAAATGTAACCGCATTGCCACCGGGTTAATGACCTGGGCTATACGGAAGGGGCCGATAAACTTTGGAGCAAGTTTTTTACACGGTACCTGCAGTTTTATATATTTGGTTGATAGGAATACATAGTCCCCCACCTGAAATGGAAGTTGCTCCCTACGTTTTAGGTTTGCTTGCTGTTTAGCTGCCTCCCCTGCTTTCGTTAATGCCTTTTTCACCGTATCCCACACGCCTCTCACCCGAGTCACCCAGTGGTCAACCCGGCCGGATGGGTTAATCGACGGCTGGCACGCGGGTATGGGTACGAACTCCCGCCCATTTACTACCTTGTAAGGTGTACAGCCAGTGCTACTATGCACGGCATTATTATAGGCTACTTCAGCAAATGTCACAAGATCTACCCAGTCTGATTGCTGGTATGACACATAGCTCCTCAAGTAGCGTTCGACCGCAGCGTTAGCTCGCTCGGCCGCACCATTGGTACTAGGGTGGTACGCTGAACTCAGGCCTTGGCTTGCTCCTAGAAACCTTACAAACTCTCGCCAAAACTGGGCAGTAAACTGTACCCCTCGGTCCGAAATTATACGTCGTGGGGCCCCATGTAAACGATAGACCTGTGTCAGGAACATCCTTGCCAATCTTTTTGCTGATGGCAACCCCTTGCATGGTATAAAATGTGCTTGTTTAGAGAAAAGATCCACCACCGTCCATATCACAGTATATCCCCTGACCTCGGGTAGTTCTACTATGAAGTCCATAGCTATATCCTGCCATGGATGTTCTGGGTCGGCTACGGTTTGGAGCAGCCCCATAGGTTTTCCCGGATGGGGTTTGGACTGGGCACACACACTACAGCCTTTCACATAGGCCTCTATATCAGCTCTTAACCTGGGCCACCAAAACTGACGCCTGGCAAGGTGTAGGGTTTTCAGGAACCCAAAGTGGCCTGCTTGTTTCACATCATGGCACTGATGGCACACCCTGTGTCTCATTGCCTGGGGAACATAGATCTTAGTGCCATACCATGCCAATCCATCTCGTAAGGTCAATAGACCCGGGTTCTTTTGGAGCCATACATCCTGTGTCACGCCTGCCCTCAGGTCATCCTCAAGCAACCCTACCTTGGAGCATCGGTCTTGTTTTGTGTTCTCTGCGTTGCAGGAGGAGATAATCGGCTGTACCACCTCTAGCCTCTTGCTGTCGTATTGCGGTAATCTGGACAGAGCATCCGCAAGGAAATTCTTTCCCCCCGGCACATGCTTGAGCTGGAAGCGGAAACGCCTGAAATACTGTGCCCATCGTACATGTTTGGGTGCCAGACGTCTAGGGGTTTGCAAGACCTCTAAGTTTTTGTGGTCCGTCCACACTTCAAACGGTTGGGCTGCCCCCTCCAATAAATGGCGCCAGGTGGTCAAAGCCCATCGCACCGCAAACGCTTCCTTCTCCCATATAGCCCACCCCCTTTCTGTGTCTGTTAACTTCCTTGACGTATAAGCACACGGTTGTAATGCGTCCTGACCGTTACGTTGGAGCAATACCGCTCCCACTGCAACATCGCTAGCGTCGGCCTGGACAACAAACGGGCGGCCTGGATCGGGATGAAGTAGTATGGGTTCTCGTGCAAAAAGTGCTTTTAGCGACTCGAACGCCCTCTGACACTCTAGTGACCATGCTATCGGTTGTCCAGGACGAGGTTTTCCGTGTGCGGATCGGGTCCGCAACAGGTGTGTTAATGGCAACGCTACAGAGGCGAATGAGGGAATAAACTGCCGGTAAAAGTTGGCGAAGCCCAAAAAGCTTTGCAGTTGTCGGCGCGTTTTTGGGGCTTGCCACTCTAACACACTCTTCACCTTGTTGGGATCCATCTCCACACCTGCTGCCGAAATCCGATAGCCTAGATAGTCAAGCCGGTTTCGATGAAACTCGCACTTTGACAATTTTACGAACAATTTGGCATGCAACAGTTTAGCTAGGACATCCCGAACCAATTTGACATGTTCCTCCAGGGTCTGGGAGTAAATGAGGATGTCATCCAAATAGACTAACACCCCGCGGTACAAATGTTCATGCAATACGCCATTTATCAATTGCATAAACACCGCGGGGGCTCCCTGTAGACCGAAGGGCATCACTTTGAATTGGTAGCTACCGAGTGGGCAATTGAACGCTGTTTTCCACTCGTCCCCCTGCTTAACCCTAACTCGGTAATAGGCTTCACGAAGATCTAGCTTCGTGAAGATTTTCCCCTTAGCTAGATGCGCTAACAGGTCTTTCATTAAAGGCAGGGGGTACATGTGTTCCACACAGACCGCATTAATTCCCCGGAAGTCGACACACAGTCGGAGGTCCCCGTCTTTTTTCTCCTGGAACAAGACGGGTGCCGCTATCCTAGAGCGGGCTGGCTGTATGAAGCCCCGTTCCAGGTTCTTGTCTATGTACTGTCTTAATTCCCGGAGCTCTAGTGGTGTCATGGGGTACATCCTGGGTTTGGGTAACTTGGCTCCCGGCAGGATTTCAATCGCGCAATCAGTGGAGCGGTGCGGCGGTAAACTGTCGCACTCCTGCTCGCTAAACACTGCGGCAAGATCATTATAAACTGCAGGGTAGCTAGGAGTGGGAGCGTTCTGGATGGTATTTGAG